TGTTCATAGAATGAGCCTCAATTTCTACGTTCTTTTTATGTAACCTATGTCAAACCCATAGCTCTTCCATAATATTCTGCCACAGGGCCCGTACACACCCAGACTTGTGTAGTCAGGGATATAGTACTTCAGTTTCTAGATCTTCTGACAGCAGAGCTCTTATTTTATTAACTGTTTTCTTTAGTTAAGAAATTTTTGGTTTTAAGTGACCCAAAACCTAATGAAAAATGGCTAAAGAAAAGAATACTTCTCAGTAGTGTATCTGAAGAGCCTAAGTGTAGATTCAGCTTCTCAGGCACAAATGGATTCAGGGCACAGACACTCTCATTGGGCCCAGGTCTCTCTTTATGCCTCAGATTGGCTCCATTCTTGGATAGGCTTTTTACTTATGGCTGGTGTGTAAATTTTGGCAAATCCACAGACTCATAGGTTCATGTCCACTTCTCCTTAGCAACAGTTTGACAAAAGTCTTAGACTTAACTCTCTTTGAGTCAGATATTTAACCCTGGGTCCATTGCTAAGACCAGGGAGAGAAATGCTCTGATTGGCTGTGACTGAGCCACATGCCAAACTTCAGAGCTGAAGGCAGAGTCAGGACCATCCAAACTGCAAGAGCTGAGAGTGGGGACGAGGTGCCTCCCAAAAAAAGGTCTGGTACTGTTACCAGAAGAAGAACAAGCAAAGATGTCCACCGTAGTTATTTTGATGGATATATGCTTCCTTCCAATACGGGCTTCCACAGATCCAATTCCTGTGCAAACCAGTAATGTCTAGATTTGCATTGGCTCACCTGTGAGTACTCCATGGATTCCTTTACAGAATCATAGGCTTTTTAAAATTTTTACGAAAGAAGCACAGTCTGAAGCTCGGTTTATTTTAAGGAGACCCATGCACCCATTTCCCCCTCTTTTCTTATACTAAAAAATATATTTTTACAAATACCAAATGTATATAAATATAGCTCATGTAAAACATAAGCCATATTACTTTTCTAGGGGTTAAGTCAGCAAAACCAGAGACATAAAGAGCTGAGCATCTTTATAAATACTACTTTATACAATGGTATGTCTGCATTCTGCTAATGCAGAAAATTGTGAGAAACAACCAAGCCTCAAGTCCTGCTTGGTTGTTTGTATAAGAAATGTATAAGGAATGTATAAGACATCAAATAAAGATGCAGTTTGTTCCTCGATACTCATCCTTCTCCTACCGGGCACTCCCACGGGGCCTTTCCAACCACCCTCTTAAGCTGCATGCGCAGCACCATGTGTAACTTAGGTGATGTTTTTAGATCCTTGCTTTTGGTTTCTGGTTCGTCGGGTTATATATGTCTCTCACCAGGTTGGCATACCCTTGATTGTTAATTTTGGTAGAGCATAGCACACACTAAGATACCCAAAAGTTGATTAATTGTCAAACAGCCAAATAAAGTGTTCTCTCCCTCTTATCTCCTTCCTTTTCTTCCTTTTCTTTATTTTGTGATCTTTTTAAAGAAGGGGACTTTTATTGGAGCTGAGTGATTTTTGTTTGTTAGATTGAAGTAACAAAGATTTTTATTAAAATAAAATGTCTGAGTTGTGCTATGAGAGAGTGAGTTCATTAGCCAGAGAAAGGAATGCTTGTGTTAGAGCAGCCCTCTGTTGAATCTGGAAGACCAGGGCTTACTTCTGCAAGAGAACCTAAGGTCATATCACTCTTCTTCCAAGACGGATCCGGAACACTGGCAGGGAAGAGATGTGTGGAGGGGAAGGAAGGACAAAAGGCCAAGGTGAACTAGAGGGCAGACAATAAGAACAAAAGAGGCCAAAGAAGGGAGGTTCTCTTGGATTCTTCCCCAGATTGAGGGGATGTAGTCCAGGCATCAGCACCTTTTCAAAGGTAGGCTCTGAACGGAGAGTGTGGAGAAGTTAGTGTGATGGTAAATGGGTTGCCTCTTTCTCTATACTCAGGGTACGTTTAGGCATAACTAATAGTAACATGATTTCCTTTTGGACCATATTTGCAGGACTTTACAAATGCTGCATGTATTATGGTGGAGGAGGGCAGAGGGAACAGGAGGACACTTGGAATTTGGAAATCAAGACAAAAGATTTTTCATCAGTGGATTGGACTTAGCTACACATGTCGACTCTGCCTTATGCACTCATAAAGCCACCACAAGTTAACTTGGAAAATAAAACTCACATATGATAAAAACAATGGAAGTGATCCCCAGCTTCCAAGTCAACAGATTCATTTCCTGATCCATCCCCTCACAATGTATCTTAGGAGACCCAGAGAGATGCCAGCTCCCATCTGCTTTAATTATTTGATGATGCATTTCAGAAGGAGATTTGAGATTTCTAAGAATTAAAAATATGGTCCAGCCAGAAAGTTTTCAAAATCCAGGCAGTGGGCTCTTTGCCCACAGCTCTCCGTCTGCCCCAGGAATGGTGCCCATTTGCACCACACTGATGTGGCTGCTGGGTTTTACTTGGCACTGAACACACAAAGCAAACGGCACAGGCTGGGCCCCTCTGAGAGCTGTGGTTGTGTGCAAAGAATAGAGAGCCGTTCTCAACCTCAGCCACTGCCAGGTGGAAGGCTGTCTTTGCTCTTGGGGTTTCTCTTTCACCTACTTGGCGAGGATTCTAGAGCAGCTAGCTTAGTAGTATTCAACTCTTATTGCAAATTAGAATCACCTGTCGAGCTTTGGCAACAAACAACCACTAGGGCTACGCCCCAGATTGAGGGGATGTAGTCCAGGCATCAGCACCTTTTCAAAGCTTTTCACAGGAGACTAAAGGAAGAACAAGATGGAGTCCTTCTTGGATCCCTGGGAAATTCTGTCTTCCTTTCTGTTTCTGTTTGACCCTCCCCTCCTCACCCCTCTCTTCCTTTCCCTCTCTTTCCCCCTCACTATTTTTCTCCTTCTCTCTCCATCCCTTCCTTCTCTCCAATAAAAATTTTTTGTGACAATGACTTATTTCTTTAAGAACACACTCACTTTCCTTCTAAATAATGAAAAGATTGTATAAATGTACAGCGTTCTGTTTCCAAGTATTTTCTAGGATTGTAGGAGACTTGTTTTCAATGTGTGTGTTTATAAATGATATGTAGCACTATTTGACTTTACCTGTGGGCCAGCCTGGCTCTGGTCCATGGTGGAAGGAGAAGATTAGGAAACAAGTAATGAAGCTGAAGAAACTTGGGGGAATGATTTTCTGTTTCTCCATTATTCTTATTTGCACCTGTTCCTACACATAGGGCCATTTAGGACACCAAGGACTCAATTCATTCATTAAATAAATATAAATAGATAGATACATGGGTAGATATTTTCAGTCTTAACAATATGTGAGGCTTTGCGCTAAGTGCTATGCACTGAAAAAGAAAATACTTCTGCTTTTAAGTGAGTAAAACGTAAAGATTTCATTATAACACAAAGTTTTACATTTTAAATGGAAATATCTGATACATAAAAATTGAGTAGGAATTAACAAGGCAAAAGAGAGAAAGGGACATTCTAGGAGAAGGGAAAACAAGCGAAGGCTCAGAGGTGAGAAATGGGACAAGCCCTTCGGGATGTGTAGGTCGCTCAGTGGGGCTTGTGTTTCCTTGGAGGTTGAGCACTGGCTGTTGACTTAATATTATTAGGTGTCCTTGCCACCCGTGAGAGCATCTGAAGCTTTGCTTCCTGCTTTAGAGCCTCGCTTTGGCTGGCCTTTCCATCAAAGTCTAACTGCATCACAATTTTTTTAATGTTTATTCTGTGTTTGTTTTTCTCTGTCTCCCCTATAGGTTGACGGAAGCGGGGGTTAGAGGAGGATGGAGACTGATTAATTGAATTCCCATCTGATTCACAGGCTGTACAACACATACACACACACCCTTATTATCTACCTTCTTTTCCATCTCAAGATAAAGGCCTTCAATCTTGAATTATAAGGTCCCCAAACCTTTCTGGAGTTGGGCCTTGGCATTTGAGTTTTCAAAAAGATCTCCCAAGTAATCCCGTGGTAGCAGTCCCCTAGTCCCTAGTGCTCATCTAAAATTCAGAGGATGTTAGTCAACATTTGCATAGCAGTAACAAAATGCCAAGCACTGCTAAACTGCTTCACTTGTAGTAAGTCATTTAACTTTTACTATAACCCTACCAAATGAGCTTATGATCATTCCCATTATAGAAATAAGGAAACTGAGACAGAGTTCGGGTGACTTGCCCAAGTACACAGATAGTTGGTGGCAGAGTTTAAACAAAGCTGCTCTTAATCCACACCCTAGATCTCCATAAATAGCCAAGACTATTAGCCACACAGTACCTGCTGTGCTCCAGGTACCAGTAGTGTGCGGATGAATGCTTTACATCTGGCTCATTGAAGGGAGAAAGCATGATTTGTAGCACTTGCCAATTTCTGTGGTCCAGATGTCACTGATCACAGAATTGGAAAGTAATGTGCACAATAGACTGATGAGCCAGCTTCAGTTCACCACCAGGCACAGCCATCACTCACTTATGACTCTGCCTGGTGTTGGCCACAACAGCAAATGTCATCATGAAAGTTCAGGCCAGTAGCTACAGAAATGTCCAGAGGCTTCGGAAATCCAAAGACATGCTCTGAGTTGGAATAACGAGAAGGCCCAGGAATAATATGTTGGGACCTGGACAGCATGTCAGATCAGGCAGCCACCTTGGACACGAGGTCAAGGGTGGGAGCTCGGAGGCCTTTCTACCCCCAAATAATCTTTCTCAGTGATCTCCCCACAAGTACTGTCCTTTGCCTCAACTACCTCTGCCCTTTTCTCTCCCCCAACCCCAGGTCAAGTACAAGTCTGCAGATTCTTAGAATTTTCTCCTCTGCCATTCACTATTGACCAGTTGCCCTTCACATGTTCTCATCCTTGCTCCAGGGCTAACTAGAGGATCTGTGAGGAGCTCCATGGCATATCACAGCTGTGCTGGGCTTAGGGACTCAGATGAGAAACAAGAGGCACAGTGATTCTTTATGCTGCTGTTTCAGGTACCAGCAGTGCTTCTATGGGGTCAACCTGTCCAGTCTCCGGGGTGCTGCAGTGGATGAATACTTCAGACAGCCAATAGTAGTAAGTGTGTCCTCTTTACAGGCATTCTCCCCATGTGTTTATCTGTTGATTCATTCACTCACTCATTCATGAACCTGGGATATACTGTGCTGCCAGACTCTGTGCTAAGCCATCACAGAAGAGCACTGTGTTTTTTAAGTCTTCCAGCTCTGATCTCCCAGTCAATTTAAAAAATTCTCAGAGAACAATATCGTTGAAAGCAAGGAGATTTGGGGACTGCCTTTCAATTAATAAGTTCTAATTCTCGAACTGCTGAAACCCACCCCATGCACGTACTCAGCCCTCATGTTTGTTCGATAATTCACATCCTTGCATTGATTCTAGTGGCCCAAGGCATATTGAAAAGGAAGCATTATAAATAGCTTAGAACAGGAGCTTCACTGTTCTAAACAGATTTGGGTTTCAACTGTGGCCCCATCTAGCTGTGTTACATTGGACAACTTTAAGTTTGCATTATCTGAAACTCTTTCAGCTGTAGGTAGAAGGAAACCTAACCCAAACTGGCTTAAGCTAAAATGGAATTACTGACCCCCCCAAATTGCAAAGGCTGGAGATAGAGCTTGCTCTGTTGCAAGAATTCAGACAGTGCCACCAGAATCTGATTTTTCTATCCTCATCATTTATCTCCATTTCCTCTGATGTAATTCTGTTCCTAGACAGGACCTCCCCTCATGGTAGCAAGATGGCTGCAGAAGCTCCAGGCTCAGATTCTTACAACTCTAAGTCTCACAAGAAAGCCTGCCTTCTCCTAATGACTTGGGCATAAGCCCAAAATTAACTAGTTTAGGTAAAGCCTTTCATCCTACCTTGGGTCATGTGCCCATCTGTGAACCAATCACCTTCAGGGCAAAAGTAATGTTCTGATTGGCCAAATTGGAGTCACATGCCATACCTGGAGCTGAGGGTGAACTTAGTTCCTGTGGAACTTTTCGGAATGAGGAGAAGAGGTAAATTCTGGATGATCGAAAAATATCAAATGCCTGCTCTAGGGAAATTATGAAAATTAAGTGATATAACCCAATAAAGCACAAAATACTTGGCTTTTTAGTAAGCACTAAATAACTGTTAGCCTTTATTATTAATATTATTCTCATTAAGATTATGCCTTCTAAATTATATCTCCTATTGACTTAAAATTTTGGGAGGAAAGCTAGACTGCAATCTTCTCAAATTTAGTTTATTCTGACAGAAAGATAACATCTTTGCATTTTTTTCCCAAGGACACATTTGACATTAGGATTTTGATGGCTCGATCGGTCAAGTACACAGTAAACTTTATGGATGCAGAAGAGGCAGATCTCCATAGGTTTGTACCAATCAATGTTGCTCTGGATTTTAGAATCTTCTGTCCACCTCTTGCATCCCCAAAACTTCATTGCTGAGTTTTGCCGCTCGTACAGGAAAGAGATTTTAGGTATGAGTCACACATAGGCATGGTACAACATTACTGGTTTCATTTATTGTAAAATAAGAATAATGATGCCTCCTTCATAGGTTGCTTTAGAAATTGAATGAGAAAAATTAAATAGTAATAGCTTGTGCTTATGTAGCCAGACACTATTCTGAGCACTTTACACACAATGACTCACTTAATCCTCACAACAACCCTATGCAAATGGTACTATTGTTATCCCCATTTTACCAATGACAAATATGAGGCAGAGTGGAGCAATAAATTGCAAAAGGTCACAGAATCAATAAGTGTCTTAAAGCTAGGATTCGAATCATTCAGAAGGCTCCAGAGTCTGGGCTTTTTAACCATTCACCCAGGCCAGTGCCCATAATAATGACAAGAAGAGCTACTACTTATGGAGTCTTACTTTATACTAGGTTCTGTGCTAAGTAGTTTACAGGCACTGGCTCATTTTCAAAGAGGGCACTCGATAAATGTTAGTTTTTGCCCTCCTTCCCTCCGCCTGAAGAGACTCTGCAATGAAGACTCATTTTTCAGATGGTGATGTGAATCTTCTTTGGATGACCTTTAACTAGTATTTTGCCCTTTTCTCCCTGAGAAGACCAATATATTTTTTTCTGGGTAAGAAATTTAAGACCCAGCCAGATTATAATTTGCTTGGACTACAGAGGAAACAAGGATCACACTTTAGACGATGCAGCTGAATAAATCAAACCGTCATCTATCTTGATATTACAATGGACGGAGGGTGCTGTGTAAGTCAGGGTAGGCTAGAACATCATGCAATAACAAGAAAATTCGGTAGCTTATGATAATTCAGGTGTCTTTCTCCCCTAAACTATGTATCCACTGCTCACCAGCTTTAGCTCTGCACAGCATCACCCACCCCAGCAGTCAGGCTGGTGTGACAGCCTCTGTCTGGAATGATGCTGATTACTGAGGAAAAGAAGGAGCATGGCAAACTGAGTACTAGCAAAAAAAGCTTGTGCCTGGGAATGACACAGTTCACTTCTGCTTACATTTAATTGGTCAAAGTAAATCACATGGCAGCGCCTGAGCTCAAGTGAGTAGATAAATGCAATCCTGCTGTTCAGAGCAAGAGAGCTGGCGTTTGGAAGCAACTCTAATAACTACCATGGGTTCAGATGAAATTAACCTTTAATTGGCTTCATTTGCTGCTCTGGGCTACCTCCTGGGTCCCAGGGAATTTTTTGAAAATCCAGTCTATGTTGGTTTTCCAGGGATGATATCTATTCATTTGTGCATTGATTCGACAACTGTCTATTGAGATCCTATGGTGCATGCACAGATACAAAAAAGTAATTTTTTAAAGTCTACTTTCGAGGAGCTCATAGTTTAGGGGAATGCCAAAAATGGGAGGAAATAATTACAACGCAATAACAACAAATTAAATATGACAAGTACAACTCTAGAAATGCTCTGACTGCTGAAGGGTGGAAGAATTTAGGCCTTTGGAGGCACCATAAATGCAAATAATATGCAACCTACTTCACAGATCTCTAGAGCACTCCCTAAAATAAGTCTCCTTGGAGTGATACAGTCCCAGCGATGGACTCATAATACTATCTTTTAATTGTGAAACACTTTAAACTTTGCAATACACTCTCATATACATTTTTTTTTCTCATTTGTCATTAACAAGAATCTTACGAGGGAAGTAGGAGAGAGATTTTGTCACCCTTCAACAAATGAAAAAACTTAGGTTAAAGAATTTAAGTGACTTTCCTAGGTTCCACGTTTAAAGCAGGTCCAAGTATCTAGATTTTGTTATATCTTTTGCAGTATTCTTTCTATTCACACTTATTCTGCATTTGGCATAAACCATGGCCACTTCTGCATGAGTCTTGCTGGAGCCTGGTGGGAAGTTAAATTGCCTCCCTGAAAAGTAAATGAACTGTGACAGTGGCCTCTGAGCTTGATGTTCCCCCTTGTGATCCACTTCATTTTTTAGAGGCCTGAACAGCCTTACCATTTGAACAGCTGCGTGGGGGATCTGCCACAGCCCATGTTTTGGCTCCTTGAAGAATGGTTGTCACCTGTGTCCTGGGTTGTCTTTCTCTTCAGTAGTCAAACCCAGCTCCAGATGCTACACTCACCGAGTGGCATTCTGGGTCATTGCAGCACAGTGGTGTGGTTCTTGCAGAATTTTGTCAAGAAGCAACATTCTCAAATGTGCAGCATTACCGAGATATTAATCACACTGAGAGAATCTTGCTGCCAAAGCAAAAGTGTTTAAGAGAAAAAGAAAATAGTCTGTGAATGTTCCCATGATCTCACAAGTATATCTAGTATGTCAACAACAAAAAAATAATTTAAAGTTTCCTTCTTTCTTTTTATGTTTCCTTGCAGAGTAGAAATTCCCTTTGTGTTTCAAATGGCACAGTCTGGCCTCATCCACGGCCTGGCATTCTGGTTTGATGTGGCCTTTGTTGGATCTCTGTATGTATCATCCCCCTGCTTCACCTACTCTCTCCCGTACTGTCCTCTACAATTTGTAATTATAACTTTAATGCTTTTAAAAATTAATTTCAGCAACAATAATACTGGTTTCTATGTGTTTCAAAAAAAATAAGCACTGATATTACTTTTAGATTTTAGGGAGAAGTAAAAATGAGCTGGTTTTCCATAGTGTCATATCAGCTCTAGCTAAAATACTGTAAAACCGCTGAAGCCAATGGGTTGGGACTTGGAGGAGTGAGAGAGGGTCTGAGCTTTATTAACCCTCTTGTTCTTTTCCAGAATAAATGGGAGGCCCCCAAGCCCTGCCTTGGCTCCCATCACACCTGACTGTAGAACCTCTTATGTCTGGGTTAATACCTCAAGTCATATTTTCCCCCATTTCAAATCATAGCCTTCTGTTTCACAGTCTAGAATCCTTTTCTAATGAGCAGGCAGGCAGGTGTTACTAACGCTAATTGCAACATTAGGTAACTTTTCCATCCATGCACTCCTTTTTCCCTAATGCAAAGGTTTGAAAGTTGCAGGCCTTCAAAAGATGGGAAAGACCACCTACAAGCTGACGGTTCGGCTTTGGTGTTCCTTGTAAGGGCTGAGTTACTCCCACGCCCCCAAATCCTCCTGACTACCCTGCTCTCTGCCCAGGCTTCCTTGCGTATTCCAACCAGCAAAGAGATGTGATCTGAGTCACATGACCAGGCAAAAGGAAAACTTTTACAGTACACATGCCTCCACTCCTCATAAAAACATCCAGATTCATCTTTGCAGCTGCTGAGAAAGAATTACCCATGGGTCTGTGATAAATCTCAGGGGGTTTGGAGGGCTCAAGGACGGAGGGGACCCCAGGAAGCCTTGTCTGTCCTGACAATCAGAGAGAAAGAAAATGATATGCAAGTCATTCCTACACCACATAACCATGTTTGTTCAAAGAATCCATACATTTTTTCCTCTGACTTTTCCTCAATAATATCCATCATAAATGAATTTGTCCCTGCAAAGGTAAGGGAGATAAGCTTAAAGTGGCCTGCTTCCAGGAGGCAATTGCTTTGAAGTTAAATGCTTTATCTTAAAAAGCTGTAGAAAATTTGCTGTCTACTCCATAATATAGCTGAGTATATTTTGATATAAAAGTGGTTTATATTATTTAGTAGTTATATTATATATAATTCCCCTCCAAAATCTTCAAATCAAAATGTACCCTCTAGAGATTTACCCCACGGTTAATGTGCACCTATAAGCCCATAGTCACTGCCTAACTCCAGGGCCAGTGACCTCAGTGTTCGAAGCTCAGCAAGATGTTTATCATGTGAAATGAACCTCCATTTAAACACTCACACACGCACAAACACTCACAGGAATGGCAGTAGAGGTCATGTGCTCCAGATGTTTTTCTTGCTTCCAAAAGCCTCATCAGCTTCCCTGAGCAAGTTGGCATGACCCCACGAGAGGCCAGATTCCATATTTCTCACTCTGCCAGACTTTTCAAACAAATCAGTTCCCAATTTAACTCTTACTTATTGGGCTCCTCACGAACTTTGATTCGGAAATACAAATGGACAGAGTAGCCAAGTCCATGAGTTTGAAGCCTGGCTTTTCACCTGTCCTTTGTGTGACACTGGGCAGGTCCTTTAACTTCTCTGGGCTTAGTCCATAGGATTGTTGTTTAGAGTTAATGGGCTAACATACATAAAGCTCTTGTAGTACCCAGCATACAACAACTGCTCAATAAAACGAGCTATCATTATCTTAAATGAGTTCCATGAGTCAAAAACAATGAAAATTATTTATCAACCTAAATCCCCAGACCAATCCATTCATACAGGCCTAGAACATAATTGGCTTTCAACTCTTTTCTTGCCCTACAGGGTAACAGTGTGGCTGTCAACAGCCCCAACTGAGCCTTTGACTCACTGGTATCAGGTGCGGTGCCTTCTTCAGACTCCTCTCTTTGCCAAGGAAGGAGAGACCCTCTCAGGGAAAGTGCTGTTTGTAGCCAATAAACGGTAAGCAGGAAAGTACAGACACAATCCCACCTCTGCTTAGTGGGCACTGACTGGTGTGAGCTCAGAAGCTGGCCAGACACTGAGACTCTAGCATCAAAAAATGGACAGGAAGCTTTACAAAGCCCTGGCTGAATTTGCACAGATGTCCTCAGCTACAAAGCCTGCAGGACAAATGTCACCCTTGCACTGAGTGTAGCAAGGAACAGGAGCTTTGGGTAACTCAAGGGCAGTGTTCTCCACTTGACCATGGAGGAAGGAAGGAAATTCATCAGCTCATGGGAGTGCTTGCCACAGGCTTGAATTACTGAGTGCTTTAAATCCCACATCAGCTTCCTGGCCCTACTTACATCTGTCTAGCCACACACCCCCAAATTTAGTAAAATACAGTCGATCTATACTGCAGGGGTAGTGCATAGTGTATCAGACAGGACTGGCTATTTCCCTCTGGTAATGGATTTCAAGAGGTATCTACAGCAATTACTTTGATTTATCTCATTTTTTAAATGCTCTATTTTCTTTGACCTGGTTGGAGCTTCTCCTGGTTGAATTAGAGGAAAGACTGGCACAGTGGTTCAAGGACTTTCAGAGGTCTTTGAATGAGAATTCAACATTCTTCCCTCCCTACCTTCCACCTTTCTTGGGCCTGTGCTTGAACACTCCAGTGACAGAGAGCTCACCACCTCACAGGGCAACCCTTCAATTTGTAAAGTCTTTATTTCTTTAATTACCAAAACCTAGCATGCTCAAATATAAAATCAAAACTACAAAAGTATCTGGAGTCCAACTACACTCCTACCCTTCACCCTACTCCCCAGATATGATCCCTTGGTTTGTGTCCTTTTGTGTGATTTTCTGTGCATGCACCAAAAAAAAAAAAAAAAAAAAAAAAAAAAAAAAAGAAAAAGAAACCCCAAAAAAAAAAAAAAAAACCATTGAGGGGGGTTTGTTGTTTTACAAGATTGCACTAGCAGTCTGCGACTTCAGTTTTCACTTAGTAATAAATCCTGAATCTGTATAGATAAATCTGCTTTGTTCTTTTAATAGATACATAATAGTTGAGAGCATGAATATATCTTAATGTCTTTTAAAATTCTCTGATTGATGATATTTCAGTTACTTCCAATATTTTTTTGCAGTTGTGAAAAAAAATCTGTACTAAATATGCTTGAATATATAGCTTGCACAGTGACATGAATATTTCTAAATGATAAGCCTAGAAATAGAAATGATGGATCAATGAGTATGTACACAGTAGTTTGATAGATATTGCCTTTCTCAGTGGTTATGCTACCCACACCAGCAATCGATAATTTCTCCACATCTTTCTCTAACCTGGATGTTATCATTCTCTATGGTTTTTTGCCAATCTAATAGATCCAAAAATAATTTTTAAAAGTTGAATCTAATTGTTTTGGTTTGTATTTATTGATAATGTTAGATAATTTTTCATATGATCATTGGCTATTGATGTCTAATACTTTAGACAATGCTAATTATTAAAAAATTATTCTTGCTGTTTATCCTATATCCTACTTTCTATAAATTTTACTCATTGATCTTAGTTACATTTCTGAATTCAGAAGAAATAGGTCTATTCCAACCTCTAAATGGCAGTTGTTCAAATATTTGGAGAGTTCTACGAAATATCTTCAGGCTAACATCCTCGACTCCTCCCTTCTGTAAGAATGATTGTGAAATAGTCAGAAATTCTAAGTCCACCCCTCTGGAAATACGTAGGTAGTCAATGGCCCCTGTGAAATGTTTCTCAGAACAGCGTATGTATACAGATAAGTGTTGGGTATAGAGTGACAGCGACTACTGCTGTTTTGAGTATATACTTATAATAATGTAATTAAAGTTTAAATTAAGTTTGGGGGGGGCCATTTTACTTGAGTGTTTAGTCAATTAAAACAAAAAAAAAGTGCATTTTTATATGATCTGGTTTAAGTCCGATTAGTGTACAGCTGATTTTTGTCAACTTCGGTTTCAAATTTTTGCATTTATTCCACTCATGCATTCATCATGCTATTTTTAGATCCTTACTAGAGCGAATGGATTATTTTATTTATTTTTAAAATTCTTTTGTATAGCATATAAGTGAGTCCTACTATTTTGTATCATTTGAAAATTTAAAAAGAAAATTTTTATTTAAAAATTATGAAGCAGAAAGAGGCCAGGGATGAATTCTTCCATCAAAATTTGCATAGCTTAATCTACACCCTTTGTGTTTGGTCATGGAATTAGCTCAAAATCCACCCACCCGAACTCATATGCAGCCCACATTCCTTCATCAAGCCAGAAGGAAATATGATACAACCCTTGTTGAATGAGTTCCCCAGATAAGCTTCATCTCTGGTTTTATCATCATAGCCCAGTCCAATAACCCTACCAAAAAGGGAAATGAAGCTAATTGAACCTAGCTCTTATTAGTTTTTAGTGACAGCATAGTAGATCTCCAGTTATCAGAAGTTACTGTCTCCTTAAAGGGTTAATTAATTTTTTAATAGATAATATAGTCACACCATTCAAAATAAAAATGTATAAAAAGGTTTACAATGAAATAGTCTTCCTCCCAGTGCGAGACTGCATTCATGCCCCTCCTTCTCCTCCATCATATAACCGGTTGCTGTTTCTTACATATCCTCTTGGAGTGTCCTTCTGGATACAGTGTATTGGTAGAAAGAGGAATAGATGTATGTGTGTATACACATACACACACAATTTTCCCCTCCTTTTATATTTAAATGGTAACATTCTATATTTGTTTTCTATATCCTAATTTTCTCACTTAACAGTACATCTCAAAGATATTTTCATATCAGCACATTGAGCTCCTTCTCTTTCTTTTCCTTGAGTTATTGTAGTTCTGTATTATGGTCTTCCTTCATAAAAGTTATTGCTTCCTTCATAGAGGTGAAAGTTTCAATGTGGTTTTAAAAAATTTATAAGAAAATATTTGCTCACATTTTGTATCTCTACCATGGCATCATTTATCTAATGCATGTTTTACATTTGTTAGTAAATTTTACTATTTTTTAACTTTTTTTCGAATAATGTCTTTTTATTAATGTTTTGGTTGTTCATCATCCGATTAAAGGGATGCTTCTGGACAGCAGTTTGCAAGAAGCTTCTGTGGTGGTGAGAGATGTGATCGTCTTCATGCTGTTTCTCAACTCACACTCTCTCCTTCTGTGCTGTCACCGAGTCATACTGCTTCCTACAAATATGGCTCCTCCGTGAGTCTTTAGGTAGTTCCACATGTTCCAGTTCCAAGAACATTTCTGCCTCAAGAGCCTTATTCACCCCAATTCTTACACAAGATGTTACAAACTGGAAATATGCTTTTGCATTTCAGAAAATGCTCTTCGCTTTGAAGTAGTTCATTTCTACAAGCATTTTCCGAGATGTGCTGCCCTTAGGCTCTCCTGCCTCCTTTGGTACTTCTGTACTGTTTACAACCCTTGCTACAGCCTTCCAGGCCACTATTATTGCAGCATTGTTGTATTGCTGTTATTTGCCTACTTGTGAGCTTCCCAAAAGAGGGTCTGAGTCTTATTCTGCAGTGCATCCCTCCTTAATATAGTTCATAGACTCCACAATGTTGTGGAATGACTACCTGAATGAAGGAGTCATAAGCTGGTTACCCCTCTCTTATTAAGAATTTAGCCTGGCACAAATGAAAGAAGATGCTAAAATGTCATGGGCATACGGTACTTTTCAGGAGGAAGTGATGGAGGGAGGAAGAAAGTTCTTTACCTCACTTGTCTAGTAAATGGGGCCAGGTTTTGGAGTCTGATGTATCCTGGTTCTGTGTAGTCTCTTCTATGTACTGGTTAGTACTTGAGTGATCTCGGTCAAGTTAAAACCTCTCTGTAGCACCCCAGGTTTTCTGACCTCATCATCTACATACTAGAATTTATAATAATTGCCTCACTAGGCTTTTGTAAATATTAAAGGAGAGAAAATAGTATAGTAATTAACACATAGTAGGTCCACAGTAAATTTTAGTTCCATTTCTCTTATTCTCTTTCTTACTCTCATAGTATCTCATAGGATTTTTTGTTTTAAAATTATTGTTTTCCTTGGTATTTTCTACAAACCCCTCAGCACTTCTTGAATGTCGATGTTTTCCCACTATGTTTTCAGCAAGATGCTACCTCTTTGTTCTGTCTGGATAAGATCTCCTCCTCCCTTACTGTCCAATAATCTTTTAAACTCTGACCTCTTGGGAGAACTCGCTATGCAACCACACAGGTGTGACAATGGCTGCCCTTTTCTTCTCCGCCAGGACCATTTACGATTGTACTGTTAGCATTTTATTTTTGACAGCCTCCCATCATTCTTTACCTGTCATTCATTTGATTGCTTTGGACAATAAAATAGAACTTATCTTTTTTGTGAACTTTATGAAATTTATATCCCTAAAGTTTACAGAAGTGGTCTCTAAACTTTCTTGATCATGTGCGCCTATGATAAAAACACTTTATATATGTTCTGCTCAAGTATACTAATATTTCTCTTTTAATTATGTGTATGTACTACAGTAATAATAATAGAAAGCATAAAACTAAGCTCTCTCTATAGGTATAGATATATATGTATATACATTATATATTATATATTATACATACACACATACACACATGCATAGACATGTCTCTGTATATACACATATAGAAACTCATATAATGTGTATATTATGAAACATACAAAAATAGAAATAAAAAAGATGAATAGAAAAAATAAATATAGGCTGATTGTTGGATCTAGCTCAGCCACTTATCCTGTGCCAAAATGTTTTAAAACATAAATTGTAATTTTTGGATCTCTTTGAAGGACTGCTATACCCAGGTTTGCCAGGGGATTTGGTTTGTAAAGAGTTTGATAAGATTTAGGGTTTATGGAACTAGAAAAAATGCTGATCAAAGAATTAAAGCTTTTGAAACCTTCAGGTGCCGCTCGTATGATAATCATTAAAGTGCTCCACCTTGGACTTCACTGAAGATGAAACCTCTCACTAGCTATATATTTGGAATCAGAAGGAATTATTGTGTACTCTTAGGCACAGTGAAGTAATAGTATGTACTGGCGCAGCTTTAAGTGACATTTCTTTGTTCTACAATACTACCAAGATTCTTCTAGCTCTGGCTCATGTTCCCATCACATGGTTATTACTTACTTTGTAATGTTGTACCACATTATTCAAGATACAATCAGAATCTTACCTTTGTAAAATCCAAGAAGCTAGATGAACATATTGGATATCCTAATTCTTAACTGGTGATTAGAATCTAGTATCTAATGAATTCACTAGTGTTCAACATGTATTTGGTAAACAACTGTATTAGTTTCCTAGGGCTATTGTAACAAATTACCACAAAACGGGTGGCTTAAAACAACAGAAATTAATCCTCACGGTTCTGGAGTCCAGAAGTCTAAAATCAAGGTGTCAGCAGGGCCACGTTCCTTTTGAAGGGTCCAGGGAAGAAGCTTCCTGTGTCTTTCAGCCTCCGATGGTGCCTGGCAACCCTTGGTGTTCCCTGCAGCTCCATCCCTCTAGTCTCTGCCTCTGTCTTCACTTGGCCTTCTTCCCTACGTACGTCTCTATGTGTCTTCTCCTATTTTTGTAGGAACACTAGTCATTGGATTTGGGGCCCACCTTAATCTTATAAGACCTCATTTAAACTTCATTACATTGCAAAAACCCTATTTCCAAATAAGACCCCCTTCACAGGTAGTAGAGTTTAGAACCTGAACATATATTTTTGGAAGAATACAATTCAATCCATTATAGCAACTAACTGAAAAAATTTTTTAAAAACTTTCACGCCCTAGTATAATGTCTCACATCCTCTCTGGTGCATAGTCAAACCCCTTTGAAGAATTCTGGTCTACAGTCTGTGCCTGCTGAAGTTTTCATTCTTTCCTTTATTTATCAGTAAATCTACAGTTGACTTGGGCCATTTTTTCCCATGTTTTTCGCATGTTTTTCCTATGTTTCCTGCCACTTCCATTTCCCCACCTCATTCTTCTTTGATAGTCAGCCCTAAGCCTATCTTGCTATTGTACCTTCTGTTTTCTCTAATATTCTTTTGAATATTACAAAAGAAATATTGGTATTCAAAGCCACGATTTTGTATTCAAACATTGAACTAAGGTACTTCTCCATTTATGTCACTTGCTCCTCATCCATAAGATTTAAAATGATTAAGTCTGGCATAATACACATTGCTCAATAACTGGTTCAAAAGAATTAATAATTATTTAGGGTCATATATTTGTAGTCTTGGAAGATTATCCATTATTGATTATTTTATTATTGCACATAACTTTTGGGGTTTGCCGTGGACCTTCTGGGTATCTGGGCACTAGCATGACAGTGTTCCTGAGTGCTTTCTTTTCCTAAACTTTTAGATGAGGACACATTCTCCCTTGGTTAATGAATCACTCACTATCAAATCAATGAACCTAGGCAATCCTTTCATTATTAAGATTGTTTTGGTACGTTCATGGTGACCTATAAAGTATCTCTGTTGCTTAAAGCCATTTCATTGATGTTGGTAAAGCTTTCCTTGGTCAAAAAAAAATCACTTTGACCAACCAAGAGTGCCATTACCTTTATAATTTTTAGATGAAGAAATTATAGTTATCAAATTCTTCTAACAAATAAACAAGGCATTTCATTGCCTCATGCTAATATTAATAGCCTCCAAATAAACTCTCTTTCAAATATATAACAAATATGTACTCTTAAAACCTTCATGAGGTAGGTATGTGTCGAATATGCCCTAAACATATGTGAATAGCTAACCAGCCTTGTGAGATATGTTTTTGCTTTTGTTCTTTTTCCATACAGTCAGAGCTATGACATTCAGATCACGGCACTGGTAAACCAGACAGGCTTCAGATCTGGGAATATCCTCGATTTAAAGAATCCTTTCTTTAGGTAAGAAATGTTCTCATTCATTTCACACCTGTGTACATAAAATCTCAATTCACTGTATGATCAGGTAAAGAAGTTCAGAATAATTTCATCTTTCCTAAGAGTAGAAAAGGCATCAACTCTTCTGCTCCAGAGAGCCTTGGATCATGATATGAAGTTGAATATTTTTTGTTGTATTAAACAAAATTCAATATATAACAATCTGGTCGTGAAGCAAAGAGCCCTGGAGAGTCTACAAAGTGAATTCTGGTTCAACTGAGCTTTAATGAGCTGTGTGTCCTTAGGCAAAGTCACTTTTCTTCCGGCATTTGGTTTTCTCATCTGCAAAATGTGGAGTTTAAGGATGACTTCCTTTGACCTTCATTCACTAAAGGATGATTTTATATAGCAGTCATTCCAGTATGTACATCTAAAACATGAGTCCATTTAAAGTATATTTTTGAGACATTTTTGAGATCACGTAAGTCAGGACATACCTCTCTTTAGAAGCTATGTAGATTTTGTCTTGCCACTAATAACTTGCCACAATGAGATGAATACCACAAATGTTTCTGGAAAAATTCTCCACCTTTACACCTATTCAGTATAAGCTAATTAAAAATCCACATGAACTCAACCACACAAATAAAACCACTGGACACTGTTACTCTTCACTTCCTTAATAAAAAGAGACTGTTCCCTCATATTGTGATGTCTTCCACCAGGCTTTTACTCAAAGTATTATGTCTCTGTAGCACTGAAAAGCTTGAAAAGAAGAGGAAACTCAGGAAACCAAACCAAGAATTCTTTGGCAAAGATGGGAAAATGAAATTTTGACCTTAAAGTGGCGGGGATGGGAGCAGACAAAGCTGCAATTGTATATGTTGTGTACCAATTGTCACATATGATATGAATCTTCAAAATCTATTGCTAGTTAAGTATGTGGGTTTCATCTTTAATTCTGGGGAATGGAGGAGTCCTCACTCCCATCCCTTCTTTACACAATCCTGCCATATAAAGCAAAAGACACAAGTCATTTTGTGTCTTTTTGGAGAGAACAGCAGAATGACTACTCAGTACTGTTTAACCTGCCTAGCCTTCAGTTTTCTCATCTGTAAAATGGAATAACACCAACCGCACTGGGAGATTGCAAGGATTTTCATACCATGTCCCAGTAGTTAACAGTTCACATAATTAGTGCTCAATAAATCTAGTTTCCTTTCTTCCTCTCTTTTCTTCCTGTCTCTGATCTCTAACTCTCTCAATAATGTAAATAAATAATGATTTATAGTTCATTCCAAACAGAATCATTTAGATTTTGGGAACAGAAGTGAATTTTTGGAGGGCTTTAGAAAACTCACCTTTTGAATGCAAGAACCATGTACACTAGTAACACTGGAGTCCCATTTCCATGTCGTCTTATAAAAACAAGGTTTTTACCAAAAATCACCTAGAGAGGGCCTTGGTCTTGGCCTTGGCCTTGGCCAGCCTTGCTTTGTGTAAAGGCAGAATCACAATGGCCATAAGGGCAAAGTAAGAGCTTGTCAAAGGTCTAGTAATACCCAAGAGGGCCATGGCCCTGTCAAAACAGATGGACTGTTGAGAGAAAGGGAGATGCCTTTTCTCTTTTTCTCTCAGCAGCAAGTCTGACTGACATATTTAATTAAGCAGATGAGGGTACTTAAAAATGTGACTTCCCTGAAAAAGATTAACAGTAGTATCTACTTGATTTCAAGACTTACTTTAAAGCTATAGTAATCCAGGAAGTGTGGTACTAATGAAAGGATGACATGTAGATGAATGGAATAGAGGTCGCAACAGACCAAACATATATGTCAATTGATTTTCAACAAAACTGAAAAAGCAATTCAATAGAGAAGTGATAGTCTTTCAAAATTGGTGTTGAAATGATTGGATATCAGTATGCAGTGAACTTTCATCCATATTTCACCCCATCTAAAAAATTAGCTAGAAAGAGATTGTAGATTGAGATGTAAAACCTAAAAATATAAAACTTTTAGGAAGAGAATGTAGAAAAAAATCTTTGTGAACTTAGGTTAGACAAATATTTCTTAAATATGACACCACAAACACGATTCATGAAGAGAGACAAATGATAAATTGTATTTTTATTAAAAATTAAAAACATGATTTTTGAAAGACACATCAGGAGAATGAAAAGCTAAGTCAAAAATTGGGTGAGAATATTTGGAAATCACATTTGGAAATCTGGAAAAAAATCCAACTAGTATCCAGAATATAAAAAGGATTAGTGATATATTTTCAACAAAGCCTAATAATACAAAAACAATTTTAAAAAATACAGGAGATTTGACCGCTTTATCAAAAAGATATAATACCAAATAAATACATGAGAAAATAGATGTTCAACATCATTAGTCATTAGGGAAACACAAGTTAAAACCATGATGACATACTACTACATACCTACTACTACATACCCATTAGAATAGCTAAAATAAAAATTCTGACAATTTATGGCAAGTGCTGGTGAAGATGTGGAGCTGCTGGAACTCTTATTCGTTGCTGATAGAAATACAAAATAGTACAGCCACTTAGGAAAGCATTTTGACAGTTCCAGCAATCTCGCTCCTAGGTATTTATGCAAGTAAAATAAAAACTATATTTGAATGTTTATTGCAACTTTATTTGTAATTACAAAAAAAAATCTAGAAACAACTAGAATGACTTTGAACTGGAGAATGAATAAACAAACGGGTCCATCCCTACAATGGAATAATTTTCAATAATAAAAAGGAAAGAAGTACTGATACAATAGTAATACAGACAAGTCTCAAGTACATTATGCTAAGTGAAAGAAGGCAAGCTCAAAAGGCTACAGTCTATATAATTCCATTTATTGGACATTCTGGAAAAGGCAGCACTATAGATAAATAAAACAGGTCAGAGCTGGGGTTGGGGGAAGGATTAAGTATAAAGGGGAATAGGAACATTTTTCAGGACGGTGGAACTTTTCTGTATCTTGATTGTCATGGTAGCAGTAGATGGCTGTATGCATTTGTCAAATATAGCAGACGTATACACTGAAAAGGTGAATTTTACTGCATGTAAAAAAACTTTTTCAATGACATAAAAACTTACCCATCCAAAAATGAACCACATAAAGGAATAGCAGAACCAACAGTGTTATACTAGGCAGTGGAGAGGCCAGGGTTAGGACGTGGGTGTTATTTACACTGAGTGGTCTGGACGGCCTCTCCAAAAAGAGGTTAGCTGAGTGGAGACTTAAATGTTGGGAAGGAACCTGCATGGGCTGATGTGCAAGCAGAGCCTTCTGGGAAAGAACGGAGAGGGCAAGGTGAGCCTATTGAATAACAAGAAGAGAAAGAAGTCATTGCTTAGCCTTTGCTATAAACCTATAAAAAGAAAAAGTTTTTTCAGTGAACAAAAATCTAGATCATCATTTCAGATCTGAATTTAAGCTGTGCATAATCAAACTTACTAAATATAGTGGATAAATATAGATCTAAGGGGGCCCATAAAAACTCCAGGGAAAGGCGCCAGAGTAGGAAGAAGGAATGGGGAGGGTCTGGAGAGGGAAGGAGAGGATGTGAGAACAAAACTGGCTTGCCTATAGCTTTGGATCTTGGTAGAACTTAATCACTTATGGCATCATAGAATCACCTTCTCTGTTTTAGGTTTGCTTAGAAGATAGTCACAAGCCAATCAATAAGTAAAATGAAGTCCTGAGAAGTCCCTCGACATCCAAGTACATATTTCATGTTCCAAACATGCATTCTAAATTGTATAGGATGTTTAGGTTTATTTAAATTCTTTTTTTCTTCTAACTCTAAAATGTGCTCTTAATTTTGTTGACTATTTCTTGGTGCTACTTATGCTGGCTTTTTACAGCTTTCTGCATGTAGTTGAAGAACATTTTTAAAAATTTTCGGTTTCTCTTATTTCTATTATTATTTTAGTAAAGCCATCAACATTGCTTCAATTTCCGAAGTATTTAAAAAAGAAAGTTAACAGAACCCTACCTCATGTTTATATGTATGCATATGTGTGACATGACATAAGAGCATGTTAGGAGTGATCTTCTATTCAAAATTTTAATCTGACTGTTTTTGCAAATATTTTCAACAAATCAATAGCTAGTTCCTAGCTCAGCAGTGTGTTAAAGAATTTTTGCCATATTCATGTAATGCAATAATACGATGTCAGGAATGTTCTTCATTGGCAATATTTGATGATTTTGTACATAGTTAAAAAAATAAAGATGAAATCTTTGTCAATTCTCTTAGGTTCACAATAAAAATGTACAATGTGAGTTACCAATGGGGCTCTCCTTTACTTTACAATATTTGTTATATGTCACATGTCAAACGGTGTTGAAAGATGATCTTTCCAAAGAGCAAGTTTTCCCCTGGCCCCAAAATCCTTATAAAAATGGATGTCACATCAGCATGACAATCTAATGAAGCCCAACAGGCAACCTGCTCACTCTGTCAAGGGGACTGGAATAAACAGCAACTACGTATTCTCATCAGTCAGTCAGTCACCCGCAGCTTTCAGCTTTCCACTCTGGTGCTTTTGCTCATTCTGACCACTCAGTTTGAAATAGTCTTCCCTTTTTATCTATTTCAACAATCTTACTCACATCAGTGCAGGCTTCGTTCCAGTACACCCTCACCAGCATGCCTTGATGACCACCTGCCACACTCACCAAAAATACCCTTCCTCACCTTTGATGTATCTCCTGTCCCTCCCCTTATCTAATCCTTTCTTGCAGCATTTTCTCACTTCATACCCTAAATAAACACGTATCTTTCTCTTCTATTGACTAAATCCATTGTGGGTTGGATCTGAATCCAATTAATTTTTTTTAAAATTTCCCACAGTAGCTAAGAGTACCTAAAGCATCAAAGGTACTCAATAAATGTACATTAAATATTTTTTTTTCCTAAAGTTAAGAGTAATTGGAATTATGAGATCAAGCCTGACAATGTTCTAACTGCCTTTCAAGCATGGTAGGTGAAACTGTATAAACTCTGGATTGCAGAAACACAATATAGCTGTCACCACTGTCTACACCCATACCCAGGGCAGACATTCAT